GGTAATTACCTAAAAATAATATACAACAATTGGTTTTTTTTCAGTTTTGTTTTTTTTTTTTGGTTTTTTTTTTTGGTTTTTTTTTTAATTTAATTAATTATTATTAATATTTCGAGTTTTTTTTTATTTTTTTTTATCTAGCTTCGCTGTAATACCTAACGAGTTAGTTAGTTCCTTTCTTTTCTTCTTCTCCCCTTTTTATCCGTTTAACTTGAAATTCTCTATTTATTTTCGTTAGCTAAATCTTCGACGTTTAGTCCATGGGGGGGATACTTTATTAACGGTAAAAACGAGAGGGTGGTTTTTATGTTTTTGATCTGACGCCGCATTTGACGGACGGTACGCGACGTTCGCCGCTTGAAAATAGCTCGAAACGAACGTAATTGGTCGCCTCGCCCGAATCCTATTATCATCCCGCATAGAGAATAAGTAAACGCCGTGCGCCTGGCTGCTCCCTTAAAAATCATCTATACAAATATATACATATAATTTTTGTTTAATATACGCGCGACGTTGGCTAAAGACAAATTGTTCTTTCAAACGTAGACGACGAAATTTGACATCGGCCAATTGACCACGTTTCTTCATAACATACGTGAATCCATGTAATACGCCATTGTTACTCAATATGTAACACATATCGTTCAATAATATATCCTGTATTATCAATGTTATCAGAAAGTATATATTACATACGCGTGTAATAGGAATTACACGCACTTTCTGCGTACGCACATGCATATATATATATATATATATATATATATATATGTGTGTGTGTGTGTATATATATATATATATATATATATTGTTTTGTTAAACGCTAATTGATACCTTTGGAAGAAAGAAAAACCGTGCTTCCCTCAGGGTACCTTTCGCCTACTTATCGGAAAAACGATGGTGGTGGTCCGTAATATTTATCGCGAGGGTTTCGTCGATTAGGGTAGGATAAAATGCGTTATTATCGTCGTAGTTTTCTTAAGACTTTGCGATCGGGGTTCGATATTCGATCTTGGATCGATTCGATTCTTCGCGCGAACTTGTATATTTATTTACAAAGTTTACTTGGAAAGTTCGAACATTTTCTCTTCCTTTTGTTCGGCAGTAAAATTCTGATCCCCTTGCTTGGCACCCCTCGGCGGCATCGAAGAACCTCTTTCTCTCTCTCTCTCTCTCTCTCTCTTTCACTCATCCACAACCACCACCAGTTTCATCCCCCTCGAAACTTTTTCCAAAGATCCGTAAGACGGTATGGTTCAGCGTAGATGTTGCTGCTGCTGCTGCTGCTGTTGTATAATGGCCAAGGTCAGACAGAGAAGGAAAGTCGCTGGAGCCATCGAACGGAAATGGGCGTGGCTGTATCCGGAAGCACGCGTCACGTTGAGCAAAACGGAAGCGTCCGCGATCCCTTCCGGCGAACGTACCAACAGCAACCATTCTCCGGCATGGGACCACTGAATCGTTTCGAAGCGTAGAATCGCCCTATAGCACGTCTCGATACTATCGTTCTGTAACAACAAAAAAACCAACAACGACGAGAAGACATTTACGAGCTGCTGCTACTGTTCGATACTATTCTCATCTAACTCTTTCTTCCCTTTCCGTTTTCACGTTAGAATTTACGCATACGGAATATTCCACGCTTGGCATTATCGATCTTGTATATTTACATGCTGTTTGTTCGTCGATAGAATCCTTCCTTTTTTCCTTTTCATTCTTACTCTAAAAGGTCTTTCAAATAAAATTATAAAGGAAATGAAAAATGAATAATTACGAAAAGGGTAAATGCGCTTTAATCGTTTATCGTACGATGAGTTATGCATGCCAGCCAGCTCTAGTTTCCCTTTAACGCGTTCCACTCGCGTAACATGGCGTTTGAAACTTTATTTCTATCTCTATCCTTCTCTCTTCCTCTCTGTTGCTCTTCCTCTTTGCATACTACGAAGAGGAATTCGAGTACTCGTATACTCGGTCACGCGTGCTGTGAAGTGTTCATTGTTTCAACTAAATCTATTTCTCTCCGACTGTGTATGCGCGCTAGTACGATTAAGGTTTCCAAGTGTCAAATAGGAAACTCTTAATACCGGGTCTTTCGATTCGAGACTATCTTCAACGTTTCCTTCTTTTATCGAGAAATATTTCGCACTAATTATAATTGTTAGTTTAATACATAAGGTAGGAGAAAATATTTTCCAAGTATTCCAATTAATTAGACCACCTCGAGTATTCTTTTTTTTTTTTATAATAAAATTGTTAATAAATTACTTTGAGAGAGTGTGTTCTTCGGCATGGTCATTTCTGTAGTTTTCGATTGATTTTCTCAAATGAGTTATATAAACGCGCATAATAAGAAAAGTAACGTGAGAGGTTCAGAGAGAACGTTTAGTCCCTCTCTTGTTATTATCGTTCTTAATAAGTTTTCTCGTTTACAAGTTTTCTCATTAATATCGTCTTAACAGATAATTAATTCGTCGCGTTTTTGTTAACGTTTTCGATTAGATCTTTCCGACGGAGGAAGCTTTCTAAATGAACATTGAGAAAAGAAAAAAAGAAAGTATGCGTGAATAGAGAAAGACTCATTTAGTTCGTAGCAAGTGTATTAGCGTATTTTCATTTTTCCATAGTCCCCTTGCAATTTTCCATCGAGTCTCTCAAACGTTTCGTGGCTTTTCTTCGAAAATCGAAGCTCGCTCGTGAACGAATTTTATCGAGCAAGAAAGTGAATGGGATAGACGAACAAAACGATATTGCTTCTTTTTCTCTTATCTTTTATCTTCTTCCTTTTCTTGTTTTCCTTTTGTAAATATGTCGTAAAGTGACTCTTTGACTAGTGAAATAAAATCGATCGGATTTTTAATATCAAACTTTTGAACAAAGGCGCATACCTTTATGCGCAGATATTAAAATTAAAAGAGAAAGCACTTGATTTGGAAAAGGGAAGGACATATAAAAATGAATAAAGTTTCTCATTATGAAGGATAGACCTATCGCGAGAAACAAAGACTGTGTTTATTTTACGAAACATTCTAATGCCTGCCGCCCCGCCACTGCTCGACGAATGAAACTCCAAAAGACCAATGTCGTTAAGGAGTAATTTACGAGCAAAAGGGATCATTAAACTCGGTGAATAACATCACGCGTCGATGAAAAATATGAAAAATATGAAAAATATGAAAAGTGTAAATATGCTCGAGTAAATATGCTCGAGTAAATAAGTTGGAAAGGTTCGAAGGAAAGGCTTTCCTTCTTGCAAAACGATCTATCACCGTTTTGAGAGATGCTCGTCCGAGGCTTAACTTTGGGAGAACTTCCATTTCCAAGATTATAAGGAGGAAAGGCCAATCTTTTTCGAACGAATGCCGCTCGTAGAATTCTTCGGAGCTTCGCAGTTCGACTTCCGGAATTTTCAAATATTACAAATACAAATACATTTTGTCAATTATATTTCTTTCTCTTGGCTATTATTTTCTTGATTCCACCCATCATCATTCTCATGCATTTCGTCGCTTCGCCCATTTATTATATATAGCTCGTTAAAAGGATAAAAAAAGAGAAAAAAATATGAATCGAGTTGAATCGATCGTCGGTCGAACGTAACCTATAGGTTTATAAGATAATTGATAGTGATAAACGAACGATGCGAAGTACTATGCACGGTTCAGCAGGCAATAATCGCATCTACTCCTCTATTTCGAAATACTCGAGCAGAACCTTCAATATTACCGATCACGAGGGGAAAATCAATTTTTTAATTACATCACGCGGTTCATCGATTCGGCTTGATAATTTGATAAACTCGGAATACTTTACATTCTATGTAAAGCCTTGCACGCTCGTTAGTTAACTTTGCTCTTTCACTAGCGATTCGGTTGCTCGGCGTTAGTTTGAATTCTTCCAAAGGAAGGAATACGACTAGAAAATTGCTTTTGCAAAACTCAACTTCCAGGACTACTACTCTTGGGCGCCAGCAGCTTCCTCCTAGTTGTTCCGATCTCGTCTCGCGTCTTTATTTGGTAAACCGCCGCCAACGCGCGTTTATTCCATTTTTGCATAACTGCCTTTCATATACGTTCGCGTAATTGAATCGGGAACCTTCGATATGACTTCTCGTCGGTGATATTTCGTTTTGCGGTTCGAAACAGACGTTGGCCAACATTCGCGAGATTTTCACATGCAAAGAGTCGCAGTTTCTTGCTCCATTTAACTCGACCTTTCCAACCGCCGAATTTCGAACCAACTCGACTCGGTCCACCTTTTTCGCTCCTTCCTTATTTCTTATTTCCTTTTGTTATTATACTTTGTTATTTCTTGCGTAGATAGAAGGAACTTTGTAAAGGGCTTATCGATCGAACGCGGTGTATCGCAATACAAATATATACTCTACTGGCTTAACAATAATTGGCTCGAGGCAAAGCATCGATTAACGTCTCGTTAAAACAATTTTCGAGCAACTATGTAAATGATCAATTTTCAGTTTCACTATAATTACGAGCAGGGAGGGAGAGAGGGAGAATTGGGAGAAACTGTGTATGCATTGTAATTAAACAAACGAAAGGTAAAGATGAAAAGGAGGAAGGAGGGGAGGAGAATATGCATTCCCTTAAAATCTCTTCATCCCATCACCGTTCGCATACTCTTTCTATTTTGATTTGAAATTAATCAAGCCAGCGAATATCCAAGGAAAACTCAAACGCAAAATGATAGGCCATGTATTATCGTAGATATATTAGTGTTCGACGATAACGCTAAGATAAAGCAATTCTGCTCAAATCCTATGTTAGATCGCAACGGGTGATTCGTATTTCATCTTCCGAATAAGATCAAGAGAAATAGAGCTAGCAGCTAGACGTTAGAATGTTGCGAATTAATTATTCACTTCTGGGAGGGAAGTTGCATGAGAACGAATAGATTGAGAGAAATGAATCACGGAATATGCGAAAGAGAAAGAGAAAGAGAAAGAGAAAGAGAAAGAGAAAGAGAAAGAGAAAGAGAGAGGTGATAGAAATCAAAAAGCTTCTTCCGCTATATTTGATCCGCGCGTACGTTTGATGAAAAACAAATGTAAATTTCTATTTAGTGTCATTTCTTATAAAAAATTTCAGATTGAAAATCGTTTACCTCGATGGCAAGTGCTTGTATTCCGTCCCGAGAGGGAGCACCAGGTACGTACACTTGCTGCTCGGAAATCCAATAGACTCGGGTGTAACTGGGTTCTGCACAAAACTGGACAATGACGTCCAAGGGTTCACCCTCGTTGGCCGTCACAGTTTGATTTGGTGGATAAACCGTGGGATGTCCTGGAACAGAAAGGAACGACCATCGTTCAACTTAATACTCCCCATGATCATAAATCTAGTCTTCTCGTTCTTAACATTCGTGCGAAAAAGACTAACAAAAGAAAAAAAAACGGACAACTTAAGGAAAACTTAAATCTCTTTAATTTAATACGACCGTTCGAATCCATTAAGAGATTAAATCTACTCGACAAAACGTTGTAAACTCGATCGTTAAAATCGATTCGTTGAATGGAGTTAAATCGTTGCATTCCTACATAAAAATGTTAGCGTGCGTATGTCCGGGCGAAGGATAAATCTCGAAAAAGTTTTCGGAAGGAAACGTTCTTTAGGACAGCCCTGTTGAACGTATCGCGAAGCGTTCGGTTCCTCCTCTCGTGATCATAAATCCTAGCTTCGGTGGCACTTTAATGCAGGAGAGTTGGATAAAGCTGGGTGGGGTGGGGGGGGGGGAGGGTGCTTGCTCCCTTTCATTTACCAGCGCCTTGTGTCTCGTTAGTGGTGAAAGGTCGTTCGGTTGTTAGCTCGCTTCTGATGAAACAAAGTGCGAGCTTGAAGATCGGCCCTTTATTGCTCTCCGCAATTGCTGATAACGTAGAGCCAATTAACGACCGTTAAACCGGTTAATAAATCCTTTCCGAAGCAATTTCGGCATTCGAACGTTAAGATGCTTGCCTCGTCATTTCTAACCAACGGATAAGATTTTCAACGAATAAGATTTTCGCGTTTGATCATTGATTCGATACCCGAGGACAAGGAGAAAACAGTCTCGAGGACTCGTTTCGCGCAACGCCACGCCAACTTTGGCTTTGTTCGCGTGGATGCCGTCGGTTAGTCGTCTCTCATCCAAATAGATTTGCCGCTTCGTAAAGCAAGCTTTCTGACCTTTGGCTGGCCCATCTGTACGGTGAATAGAAGTGGAGCGTTACTACACCCTCATGAATAATCCTCTGCTTGAAATTACTCGAATATCTTGGATCTGGTTTTTGCTTAAGAGAGAAATAGAGTAGAGATTAGGAGAAGACGGTCAAATATTATTGCGAAATCGCGGACTCCAAGAGGCTGAGATCTTCCCTTTTGCTTTTCTCCGCAAAACATCTCTACGATTCTTCTCCGAGACGTTACGTGCGACACAAATTGTTTTTTATAAGATTTGCTTCAGATTTCTTGATACGATGCTTGAGATCTTGTTCTTTGATTTACATTGAGTTTACGTCTTACGATTAATTCTATTTAACATTTTACATGGAAAGCCATAATTTCAAAGGACCTCGTCAAAATCTTTCCAGACACGACAGAATTTCAATTGGTATTCGATTTTTGGAATGTGTGTTAGGCGTTAGCAAACGCCATTTGTTCCTTCCCGTACGCACAAAAGGAAAAAGAATTTCAATGTATTACTATATTAGCCGCCATCCAGGAGAGGATATTCTCGGTCGGACTTTTTATCCCGGATGGTTCTTTAAAATAGCCGTTCTTTCGAATAGAACCTCTTAGCAAGTTAAATGAGCCGTGGGCGATGGCTGCAATGGGTACATTTCACCGTTAGAAAAAGTTTCTGTCGTTTAGTCGCGTGGTTAAGAATTTTCTTTGATTTTAGGGTGTGGCTTTTGACATTTAACGAAACTAACGAAGTTTTCTAACGAAAACTAATAATCTCGTGTCAAAGAAGAAGAAGCAGCAGCAGCAGAATTGTCAATAAAAATTGATAGTAGAAAAAGTCGAAGTAGGTCGAAAGCGAACCTCGGTTGAGGTTTGATCATGTGTAAAAAGGAAAGGTAAAACTAAAGAAAAAGTAAAACCAGGGAGGATTTTTGTCTCGTCGAATAATCAAGCAGGAAATGAATATTTTAATGTCGGGGAGGGCGACGTAACGGTGTCGCGTTTCGCTTTCGAAAGTGTCACTCGATTCGAAAGCAATCTACGCGTGAAATTGCCATCCAGTGCAGAAACGGACGAGAGCGTCCAACTAAACGGGGAAACGAATTACTTCTGTATTCGCGCGAACGCGCGTAACAGCTTGCTAATTAATCGATTAATTTCCGATCTCGAGATCGCAAGAGGACCTTCTCGTTCCACCAATCATTCATCCGTTGTCCTCTTTTTGCGCCTCGAATTCATCGCCTGATTTCATCGCCATAAGCGAACGAGAGTGTCCTTCTATTCGTAAAATAGATGTAATTTAAGTTGCGATTGATGTACGAATCAAAGACGTGACGTACGACCTGTGATCACCGAACGTGTTATCCTTATTCTCATTTTGACGATTATTCTTCCGCACCGTTACTCGCGATGATGATTTTATTTAGAAAAAAGAAAAAAAGAAAATCAATAGACGAATCTTCTTTTTAATAGAATTTACTATCACATTTAGTAAAACGATCTCCTGTTAATTTCGTTAGAAAGGGCTTTCTCCCTACGTACTTGTTTGAAACGAGCAATTCTATGGAATTACGATCCTTTACAGCTTTGTAAATACGAATCGTAATTACTTCGGCGCTTAGACTCTAAAAGCGTTCTCGTAGAATTCAACGAAGATATATATGTTATAAATTAGCCATGATATGTGTAGTTATACGTCGGTCGAAAGTACACATAAATTAAACGACTCATACTTGCGAGATTTTCTTAAGAGGAAAATGAACGACGTAGAAATTTGGCAAGGAAAGTTGTTGTTGCTATTAGTAAAATAAAATAAAATAAAATAAAATAAAAACAAACCAATTGACAAAGGTATTATTTTGGAAATATTTTATGTTGATTTTTCTTTTAACGGCAAACTTGGAAAGTTCCAATCGGTAGGATCGAATTTGAAAGATCATAATGGATCTTAAGGGATCGTAATGGATCGTAATGGATCGTAAGAGACCGTAAGGATCCAACGCGGAAAGTGTGATTCACTCGGCTAGCCGTAGCTCAGGGCGATAACCATCAACACCGGGAGGACCGTAAGGTCCGTGGAAGTGTGCAGCATTGTTCGCAAGGGTGGCCACAGTTATTCGTGCATTGTTCGCCAGGTTCGTTAAAACAATCTAATCAAGCCGCACGCCACCGACTATACGTTACGAAAATAATACGAAAGATCGAGTATCCGTTTGCACGATCTCTACGCGATTTAATCCCAAGGGAGACGATTTTCCTGAGCCCTTGCCAGGATGAAAGTAAATCGCACGAACCGGCGAGCAACGATAAAGAAAAGTATAATACCTTTTTTAAAGGGAAAGATAAAGAATTTTCATAGAAAAATTCTATGTATTTTCGAGAAAGGGATTTTAAAGAGGAAAATATAAGTTAGTCAAATCTATCAAAGTACCGCGTAGTCGAAGAGGATTAAATTAATGAAATCTCCGATAAGTTCGGTCGAACAAAAATCTACTTTGTTAAACTAATACAACTTTCAATATGGAACAATGTGATCTTAAAGACAAGCTTTATAATCTTGCGTTTGCTTTCTAACGGGTCTTTCTAACTTTTCTAACCTTAGGGGATGAGGTAAAAATGTGCATTTACGTTTACAGGAACATTACGAAGAACTAGGCGTATTTCGATGCTTCTCTCGGAGACGAAACATAATTCGCGTGTTCGCGGATTAAACGTATATTATATTTATTATAGTACTACTAATGAAATAATAGGAAAGCGGGTCCCACAGCTGACGTTGCTCGCGCAGCTGCGCCTTTATGTTTGTATTTTTCGGACGAAAGTGTTTTAAAACTCCGGATAATGCGCTTAACTAATTTCTACTACACGAGCGTCGGCCGTGCGTTACACTTTACGGTATACACGAGTTTTCTTATTATATTTATTGCGTGTTTCCGTTGTTAAACGTATGTGCCGGTAAAACCTATGCTATAAAAGTGCACTTTGCGTGCGCTTTGGATACGAGAAAATGGAAAGACAAAGAAAAGAAAAAGGAGAACAAGAGAAATAAGGGAGGGATGCATTATAATCGCTTTAAAACGTGTTTTTTGTTCGGCGTCGATTGTTTCGTCTCTTTTATGGGCGCCATGGGAAATTCATTTGAAAGGACGCGTACGCATAAATACCAATTTGCATTTAAAGATAATACAAGTTGATAGAAATGTTGTATACCATAGTAATCGTGGTCTATTTTTGAAAAAAGGACGGGCGTTTCAGCAATCGTGTATCTCTTGATGAGAAATTTGCGAGCAACGTAAATCGGCGTAAAGTATCTTTCTCAAGTATAACGGAGGGCCGATGATGGAAAAGAGTCTCTTGGGTAAGCCGAGAGGCACAGAAACTAGCGGAAAGACAAATTGGGAGCTAGGTAGCCCCTCGAGCTTTCAATTTGTCCTAAGTTAACACTGACACCGGTCGACTGGCTCGTATCGCTCCTTCGCCTTTCGGGATTTTTCTTTCTCCTCCCAGGACTCGAACGATATGCACAGGAAAGAGCACAAAAAATAGGCAAAAGAGAGAAAGAAGGAATATAAGGCATCCTTTGGGAACGGTTCGGTCCTACAAACGCAAAGGGTTGTTGCTCCGTAATCATCCTTCGTCCTTTGCGTCCCTTTCGCGTCCCTTTCGCGTCCCTTTCGCGTCCCTTTCGCGTCCCTTTCGCGTCCCTTTCGCGTCCCTTTCGCATCCCTTTCGAATCTTTTCCCGACTAGGACATCTTTTATTCAACAACCTCTTCGATATCGTGGCCCATCTTTAACAACGAAGGATCGTACAACGATCTCGCGAATATTCTTTCGTATTCTTTTTTTTCGTTTCACTTGGAATCGCGTCGTACGCGATAATACGGGAATAAATGTTATTTCGTAAAAGCTGCTTCTCTCTTTCTAGAAATAATCCTTTGCATTTGTTCAGAAAGCACCTTCTTCGATGGAAATGTTTGAATAATATGTGCTAGTCGAGTAAATGATATTTCCATATCTACGTGGTAACACATGCATACGCATGGTATACCTAGAAAAACTATTATCTTTTCAACTCGATATCATATATTTATTTTCCAATAAAATACATTCGGGGCGAGC